GTACCTTGACCTTTACATGAATGCTTGAATGGGCAGTTCTTATTTAAGACAGGCGATTCCTGCCACTGACCAGTTCTAAGATTAAGCATCATAAACTTACATTTGTGTTCTTCTATTTTATTTATTCACATTTGTGAACAAGAGGGTCATGATGGCCCTGAGTCGCTCACCAGAAACAACTGCTTTTCAGTGTTGGAAATTATCCATTGTCAATATTTTATTTTAAATTTGAGCATAGAATATATTTAAACAATAATCTGAAGAAATGCTATGACCTATGGCATTTAAGCTTTTGCTTAAACGGGGCCAATCAAATTAATATGAGCAAACTTGATAAAAGACTACCCAAGAATTTTGCACGTTCCGTGATCATCTATCAATTATTTCAGTAGGAAATGATGTTCAAAGGTTTTTCTATATTTAGGGGCAAATCAAATTAATATGAGAAAAGTTGATAAAAGAGTCCCTAAGAATGCTACAGACAAAGTTTGATGATTATCCATCAATTATTTCTGTAGTAAAAAAATGTTTAAAGGTTTTTTCTATTTTTAGCTTTAGCGGCCCTTAAAAGGGGCCAATCAAATTAATATGAGGAAACTTGATGACTACCCAAGAATGCTACAGACAAAGTTTGGTGATCATACATCAATTATTTCTGTAGAAATAGATGTTTAAAGGTATTTCTATTTTTAGCTATAGTGGCCCCAAAAAGGGGCCAATCAAATTAATGAGCAAACTTGATAAAAGACTACCCAAGAATGCTACAGACAAAGTTTGGTGATCATCCATCAATTAGTTCTGTAGAGGATATTTAAAGGTTTCTCTATTTTTAGCCCTAGAGACCCTTGTAAGGGGCTAATAAAATTAATATGAGTAAACTTGATAAAAGACTACCCAAGAATGCTACAGACTAAATTTGGTGATCATCCATCATTTCTGTAGTAGAAGATGTTTAAAGGTTTTTCTATTTTCAGCTCTGTTGACCCCTAAAAGGGGCCAATTGAAATGACATGGGCAAATTCAAGTGTGACTGTCACAAGGATGCTACAGATTAAATTTGAAGTAAATTTGCCCAGCAGTTTCAGTGAAGACGATTGTTGACGAATGATGACAAACGCCGGAGCATCCCCCTTTGATACCAATAGCACACCCTGAACCTTCGGTTCTGGTGAGTTAATAACAGAACTCCGTATCATTACACTTAAGTATATATACATACATAAAAATAAGAAATATCACATACTTAACGAATCACGCAAATAAAAGTGTATATCAACTTTGAGGGGTCTGTGTGTTAAAAAATGAGAGGGTACCTGTGATATATACATTTAAACCAAAGAGGTAACCAGTGCCGCTGCAAAACTAAAAGTAGGGTGTTTTTATTAATTTTACAATTATTTTTGACAATAGACTGGCACTTGTCCGAAGATGATATATAAATGAACATATAAAATATATTATGCATACATAATCAAGTCACTGGTTCATTTCAGACCGAAAAAATATGTCGAGATGATGGGCGAGGCAAGACATGTTGATTTTATGTAGCTTATTGTGAAGTTGCAGTATGATATGACAAATCAGCACATAAAGAAAACACTCTAGTGTTCCGTGGTATACATCTTTTCCACATGTCATATATGTCCTTATTACAATGAAATTTTACTGGATTGTTATCCATCGCTGGTTTGTTTTTAGCAAAGAATGACCTGTGCATGTGCAAAGAGGGTACTGTTTCAGTAAATTTCATAAAGAGGATACAGATATGGATATGCACCGTGGTTCATGTGTTGTTCACATTAATAAGATAAATGATTCAGAAACAAAACAAACAAGATATGTTTGTAAAACATGTATGCCCCCTATCTGCAGCCAATTAGTCATGTGATCAGGTTATTATGCATGACTTCTGACCCAGTGAACAAACAATTAATAAGGGTTATCTAGTATCTACTGGTCATGACTAGTCACAAGGTAATAATTATTGTGACCCCATAGGTTGTGTGCAGCAATTTCAGTTATTACAAACCTTACCAAATAATATATGCATAAATTTTATGAATCATGTAGGCCTCATTAATGACAGCCAAGTTGTTATATTACATAAGACCTTCAAATGTGTATACCAAAAGAATTTTTAATTTAATATAAAAATTTCATACCAAGGCAACTTGAGTTGTTGAGTTATTGGTCAGAAACGATCATTAAGTACAAGGTCAATATGACATTGACCCCTAGACCCCAAAATCAATAGGGGTCATCTACTGGTCATGACCAATCAACATACCAAGTTTGAAGTTCCTAGGCCTAAGCATTCTTTAGTTACTGACCGGAAACCGTTTTTACCTTCAAGGTCAATGTCACCTTGACCTTTGACCCCTTGACCCAAAAATCAATAGGGGTCATCTACTGGTCATGACCAATTACCATACCAAGGGTTCTTTAGTTATTGATCGGAAACCGTTTATACCTACAAGGTCAATGTGACCCTGACCTTTGACCCCTTGACCCAAAAATCAATAGGGGTCATCTGCTGGTCATGACCAATCATCATACCAAGTTTGAAGTTTCTAGGCCTAAGCGTTCTTTAGTTATTGATCGGAAACTGTTTTTACCTACAAGGTCAATGTGACCTTGACCTTTGACCCCTTGACCCCAAAATCAATAGGGGTCATCTGCTGGTCATGACCAATCATCATACCAAGTTTGAAGTTCCTAGGCCTAAGCGTTCTTTAGTTATTGATCGGAAACTGTTTTTACCTACAAGGTCAATGTGACCTTGACCTTTGACCCCTTGACCCCAAAATCAATAGGGGTCATCTGCTGGTCATGACCAATCACCATACCAAGTTTGAAGTTCCTAGGCCTAAGCGTTCTTTAGTTATTGATCGGAAACCGTTTTTACTTACAAGGTAAATGTGACCTTGACCTTTAACCCCAAAATCAATAGGGGTCATCTGCTGGTCATGACCAATCATCATACCAAGTTTTAAGTTTCTAGGCCTAAGCGTTCTTTAGTTATTGATCGGAAACCGTTTTTACCTTCAAGGTCAATGTCACCTTAACCTTTGACCCCTTGACCAAAAATTCAATAGGGGTCATCTGCTGGTCATGACCAATTACCATACCAAGTTTGAAGTTCCTAGGCCTTAGGGTTCTTTAGTTATTGATCACAAAAAGGTTTTTACCTACAAGGTCAATGTGACCCTGACCTTTGACACCTTGACCCCAAAATCAATAGGGGTCATCTGCTGGTCATGACCAATCATCATACCAAGTTTAAAGTTCCTAGGCCTAAGCGTTCTTTAAATATTGATCGGAAACCCTTCTTACCTACAAGGTCAATGTGATCTTGACCTTTGACCCCTTGACCCCAAAATCAATAGGGGTCATCTGCTGGTCATGACCAATCATCATACCAAGTTTGAAGTTCCTAGGCCTAAGCGTTTTTTATATATTGATCGGAAACCGTTTTTACCTAAGAGGTTAATGTGACCTTGACCTTTGACCCCTTGACGACAAAATCAATAGGGGTCATCTGCCGTTCATGACCAATCATCATACCAAGTTTGAAGTTCCTAGGCCTAAGGGTTCTTTAGTTATTGATCAGAAACCGTTTTTACCTATAAGGTTAATGTGACCTTGACCATTGACCCCTTGACCCCAAAATCAATAGGGGTCATCTGCTGGTCATGACCAATCACTATACCAAGTTTGAAGTTCCTAGGCCTAAGGGTTCTTTAGTTATTGATCGGAAACCTTTTTTATCTAAGAGGTCAATGTGACCTTGACCTTTGACTCCTAGACCCCAAAATCAAGAGGGGTCATCTGCTGGCCATGACCAATCACCATACCAAGTTTGAAGTTCCTAGGACTAAGCTTTCTTTAGTTATTGATCGGAAACCTTTTTTATCTAAGAGGTCAATGTGACCCAGAGTCTATTCTAGGAATTGAAAAAAAGGGGTGATTTTCCCCCCTCTATTTCAAAAAAGGGGGCGATTTTCAAAATCAAAGGGTGCCAATATAAACTGCCAATGTTAAATCGTCTGCATTAAGTTTACACTGAGGCGTTCAACCGATGAAATAATCAAAACGATAATATTTATTTAAGGCAGCAGAAGTTGTCCCCCTGAATTTTTAAACGAAAACAAATTATTACAGAACTGCCGCGATTGATTATAAAGGGATTGGCAATACAAATAATCGAACTATCTTTCACGTCTAGATCATAGCCAAGCTAGGAATTGCCTCATTTTTCTTGATTATTTACTACACTAAAATGGCGCCCAACTGTCAGACCTAGCACACTAGTTCCGGTCGATACGGAACATTCCGTTAATTTCCGTCAACTCACGTAACCAGTACCATACGGTACTAAATTATTATAATTAGCTTACAGTTACCTCCCTTCGGTTTTCGGTGTAAATGTAAACAAAACAACCAAATATAATGCGGGATGGAAGTTTTACGGTTTTATTAACCTTTTTTATAGATGCGCGATTTTCACGCACATGATTTTGAATTGTGCGCGATCTGTTAAATACTAGCGTGAATCGCGCAATCGCGCGTCCTAGAATAGACACTCTTTGACCCCAAAATCAAGAGGGGTCATCTGCTGGCCATGACCAATCACCATACCAAGATTGAAGTTCCTAGGACTAAGCTTTCTTCAGTTATTGATCGGAAACCGTTTTTACTTACAAGGTCAATGTGACCTTGACCTTTAACCCCTTGACCCTAAAATCAATAGGGGTCATCTGCTGGTCATGACCAATCACCATACCAAGTTTGAAGTTCCTAGGCCTAAGGGTTCTTTAGTTATCACTCGGAAACCATTTGGTCTACGGACCGACGGACCGACAAATGCAAAGCAATATACCCCCCCCCCCTTCTTCGAAGTGGGGGCATAATACACATGTTTACTATTATTTTTGATGCACTTATTGAAATAACTATGATCACCTAGCAATTTATGCATTTTTAGAAAAAAACTTATTTACCATTGTAGACATCGTTCAAAGTTTTCACTTCATCACCAGATTCCCTTAGCTGTTTCAAATACTCCTCATCATCACATCCTCCTTCATATTTTTTCTTATAACGCTCAATAAGATGTTCAACTTGTTTTTTGTCGTCTTTGGCAATGTTGTTTGAAAGATGATTAAGACAAGTGATAAGATCAGTCCATATGGTAAGAAAATCATCTGTATCTAGACACTGCAACGCAAGGGCAGCATAGTTTACCCTAGCACTCTTTATGCGCTTAACATACATGATGTCGCTTTGACTAAGGTCATCATCACATGTTAGCAACAAAACAGATGCCAGAAGAAAAACATCCCAGTTTTTATAATCTGAACAAGACTCTTGTGGGTATAGGCATCTGATAAATTTCTCATCAATATTTCTGATCAGCATTTCCTTCTTACTTTCAAGAAAATCTGATAGGTCTTGGTCACCCAGCTTTGTCTTCAGTATGCCACATAACACAATGCGCCCTCCATCAAACAGAAGTTTTATATAACGTACAAATCTCTCAGGTGTTGTTTTGAAATATTCCTGAAATTCTACAATAAAATGAGAAACAGATTTGATTAGCCCTTAACATTTCAAGAAAACAAAAGGCATTTAAAGTTATTAGTACATGTATTAAAGTTATTAGTACATATATAAAGAAATGGTAGATGGCAATATTATATTTAATTCAACACCAAGACTAGAAATGTGTCATCATGCCACGGATGCCCCCGCATGCAGCCAAAATTTCAGATGTTAATATATTTAGTTCCAAATTTGTTTGCACGAATTATTTTTTTCATTTTAAGTTCAAAGCCCTTAAAACTTTTCAATGTTAACACAAACCATTTTCATACAATGTTCAAGGCACTGAAATTATTCAGTCTTAACCTTTTGAAAATAGCATATTGCAATGGCTACATACATTTCCACAAAAGTATGAGTGCTGAAACTGAAAGTTCAAAATTTTTCCAACATTCAGGAAAGATAAGTTTGTCCAAAATCATTGAACCACGACCAAATTCAAACTTAAACTGCTTATTCCTAAGATGTATCTATATTATTTTCAAAGTGAAAGGGACACAACTCTGCAAAAACTAGAAATGTGTCATCATGCCACGGATGCCCCCGCATGCAGCCAAAATTTCAGATGGTGCATTAATTATTTTTTTCATTTTAAGTTCAAAGCCCTTAAAACTTTTCAATGTTAACACAAACCATTTTCATACAATGTTCAAGGCACTGAAATTATTCAGTCTTAACCTTTTAAAAATAATGCCAAAATAATGGCTAAAAGTATGAGTGTTCAAAATTTTTCCAACATTCAGGAAAGATAAGTTTGTCTAAAATCATTGAACCACAACCAAATTCAAACTTAAACTGCTTATTCCTAAGATGTATCTTTATTATTTTCAAAGTGAAAGGGACATAACTCTGCCACAAAAATCATCAAACCATGACCAAATTCCAACTTGACCTGCCCATTCCTTTGACATATCCATATGCCAAATTTAAGTTGAATATGTTACACTGTTGGGTAGATAATGAACAGAAACTGTAAATTTCATATTATTTTCAAAGTGAAAGGGGCATTACTCTGCCAAAAATCAATGAACCATGACCAAATTCCAACTTGACCTGTATTTTCTCATGACATATCCATATGTCAAGTTTGAGTTGAATGTGTTGTACCGTTGGGGAGATAATGAACGGAAACTGAAAATTTCATATTATTTTCAAAGTAAAAGGGGCATAACTCTGCCAAAAATCATTGAACCATGACCAAATTCGAACTTTGCCTGGGCATTCCAAAAACATAACCATATGTCAAATTTGAGTTGAATGTGTTGTACCGTTGGGGAGATAATAAACAGAAACTGACTAGAAATGTGTCATCATGCCACGGATGCCCCCGCAGGCAGCCAAAATTTCAGATGTTATAATATTTAGTTCCAAATTTGTTTGCACAAATTATTGTTTTCATTTTAAGTTCAAAGCCCTTAAAACTTTTCAACGTTTACACAAACCATTTTCATACAATGTTCAAGGCACTGAAATTATTCAGTCTTAACCTTTTGAAAATAGCATATTTCATATTTGTAGCCAAAATAATGGCTACATACATTTCCACGAAAGTATGAGTGCTGAAACTGAAAGTTCAAATTTTTTCCAATATTCAAGAAAGATAAGTTTGTCCAAAATCATTGAACCATGACCAAATTCAAACTTAAACTGCTTATTCCTAAGATGTATCTATATTATTTTCAAAGTGAAAGGGACATAACTCTGCCAAAAATCATCGAACCATGACCAAATTCCAACTTGACCTGCCCATTCCTTTGACATATCCATATGTCAAATTTGAGTTGAATATGTAACACTGTTGGGTAGATAATGAACAGAAACTGTAAATTTCATATTATTTTCAAAGTGGAAGGGGCATTACTCTGCCAAAAATCATTGAACCATGACCAAATTCGAACTTGGCCTGGGCATTCCAAAAACATATCCATATGTGAAATTTGAGTTGAATGTGTTGTACTGTTGGGGAGATAATAAACAGAAACTGAAAATTTCATATTATTTTCAAAGTAAAAGGAGCATAACTCTGCCAAAAATCATCGAACCATGACCAAATTCAAACTTGACCTGTATTTTCTCATGACATATCCATATGTCAAATTTGATTTGAATGTGTTGTACCGTTGGGGAGATAATGAACGGAAACTGAAAATTTCATATTATTTTCAAAGTAAAAGGGGCATAACTCTGCCAAAAATCATCGAACCATGACCAAATTCGAACTTGACCTGTATTTTCTCATGACATATCCATATGCCAAATTTGAGTTGAATGTGTTGTACCGTTGGGGAGATAATGAACGGAAACTGAAAATTTCATATTATTTTCAAAGTAAAAGGGGCATAACTCTGCCAAAAATCATTGAACCATGACCAAATTCGAACTTGACCTGTATTTTCTCATGACATATCCATATGCCAAATTTGATTTGAATGTGTTGTACCGTTGGGGAGATAATGAACGGAAACTGAAAATTTCATATTATTTTCAAAGTAAAAGGGGCATAACTCTGCCAAAAATCATCGAACCATGACCAAATTCGAACTTGACCTGTATTTTCTCATGACATATCCATATGTCAAATTTGATTTGAATGTGTTGTACCGTTGGGGAGATAATGAACGGAAACTGAAAATTTCATATTATTTTCAAAGTAAAAGGGGCATAACTCTGCCAAAAATCATTGAACCATGACCAAATTCGAACTTGACCTGTATTTTCTCATGACATATCCATATGCCAAATTTGAGTTGAATATGTGCAACCGTTACTAAGATAATGAACGGAAACTGATGATGACGGAATGACAGAATGACGGAATGACGGAATGACGGAAGGACGGAATGACGGAAGGACGGAAGGACGGAACAGGGTAACACTATATGCCCCGGCCATTACATGGCGGGGGCATAAAAATTTTATATTTTCAAAGTGAAAGGGGCATAACTCTGCCAAAAATCATCAAACCATGACCAAATTCGAACTTGACCTGTATTTTCTCTTGGCAAATCCATATGTAAAATTTGAGTTGAATGTGTGCAACCGTTACTAAGATAATGAACGGAAACTGATCATGATGATGACAGAATGACAGAAAGACGGAAGGACGAATGACGGAACAGGGTAACACTATAATTATGCCCCAGCCATTACATGGCGGGGGCATAAAAATAGTATTTTTATGAACATAACAGAACAATCATAAATACTTACCCTGTGATCTTCTAATCAATTCTTCAACCTTAAATAGAAAGTACTTAATGAATTTCAATGCAAATAATTTCATTTATTACATACTTACAACTGAAATATTGAGAAATATTAATGAAATGAAATGTGCATTTTCATTATCTGTTATTCCAGTTTAAAAATTTATTTTTCACTGCAGTGAAACATATTTTCTGTATTATTACTGGTGTTTTGCCGGACTACGTTTATATATTCCATGTGTAATTTTATCTAACAATATTGATCAATATCGATATACATGTATATTAAAAATTTATAAAATTTGACTATTATACATTAATATGTTTTATACTGAAAGATTTGAAATAAATATATGAAACTACTGAAATAAAACGTAATTTGAAAGAGAGAATTGACCTTTTCTTGAAGGTGCTCTGTTTTGTAGTTGAGCAACTCATCTAGTACCCTCTTAACTTCAGCATTCTCTGTATCTACATTAAGCTGTTTGTATCCATCTATTCTTCGTTCAAAGTTTTCACTAGATTGCAAGTCAACAAGTTCAACCACTCTCAACAAGATAGCTTTGATATTTGCCCATGTCTTTTCATACTCTGCCTTTGACAATTTGGCATCCGCTCGATGACCTATAATCTTATTTCTGACATCTCTCAATCGAAGAAGATCAGCACCAAGACTTTCGTCTTTCAGGTCCAGGTTAGATTCCCAACCATGCTGTGGTTTTGGTATATTGTCTTTACACAAATTAAGTACAAGTTTCAGCAAAAGAGATATATTGAACCTCTCTAGATTTAAAACTTGACCAGAAACAAGATTATAGTCAGACTGGGTTATGACATGTTTTTTCGATAGTTTCAACAATTTATTTTGTTGCTCTAGAGATGAGAGAAAGTGTCGGATGTCTTCACTTTTTATCAAGAATTTGAACACTTTAAATAACACCTCTCTTGTCAGGTCTGTGTACATAAGAATAGCTCTAATATAATACATTCTCTCTTCAGACATTTCAGACATGATGAATTAGAATTTATCAACTTGCGTTCAAAGAAAAATAAGTGTCTGATATACATTCTCCATCACCAAAAGTTCTGAAAAAAATAAGACATAATTATCTTATTGCTGAAATATATGTCAAATTAAGAAATAAAGAGTTTAACTTATTATATACATGTATTCTCATGATTTAATCAACTTTAAAACAAGAACTGTCGGAGGACAGCAAAGCTCGACTACTCAAAAAGTTGTCACAAGGGTGTTTCATTAAGTAATCCTTACCTATATGAATACATAAAATTGTCCAAAAAGGTACAAACCCTTCAGTAGTTATGGAGATGCCAGCTTACAAGCAAAAACTTAACCAAGAATTTCTAAGTCGAAAAAGGGGCATAATTATGTAAACAAGAGGGACATGATGGCCCTGAGGTCGCTCACCTGTATATAGGAGCCCCCCCACCCCCAGGCCAATTTATCCAAGGGCTTTTATTTGTTTATTTGAACAGACTTGGTAGACACCCATAAGAAGATGTTTCATGCTAAACATCTAAGCTCTAGCTCATTGGCTTTTTTAAAAGAAGATTTTTAAAGTTTTTACTATACACATATAGTTAAAACAATGACACCCCTGGGGCAGGGCCAGTTTTGACCGCCGGGCGTTTATTTTAACAAACTTTGTAGATATTTACTTAAAGATGTTTCATGCATAATATCTAAACTCTAGCTATTTGGGTTTTTCCAAAGAAGATTTTTAAGTTTTTGCTATACACATATAAGGAAAATCAATGACCCCCCCCCCCCCGGGCGGGGCCAGTTTTGACCCCAGGGCTTTTATTTGAACATACTTGGTAGACACCCATTAGAACATGTTTCATGCTAAATATCTTAGCTCTAGCTTTTTGAGTTCTTTAAAAGAAGATTTTTTAAGTTTTTACTATATGCATATAGGGAAAATCAATGACCCTCTGGGGCGGGGCCAATTTTGACCCCAGGGCTTTTATTTAAACAAACTTGGTAGACACTCATTAGAAGATGTTTCATGCTAAATATTTTAGCTCTAGCTCTTTGGGTTCTTTAAAAGAAGATTTTTAAGTTTTTACTATATGCATATAGGGAAAATCTATGACCCCCTGGGGCGGGGTCAATTTTGACCCCAGGGCTTTTATTTGAACAAACTTGGTAGACATTCACTAGAAGATGTTTCATGCCAAATATCTAAGCTCTAGCTCTTATGGTTCTTTAAAAGAAGATTTTTTAAGTTTTTACTATATGCATATAGGGAAAATCAATGACCCCCGGAGCGGGGCCAATTTTGACCCCAGGGCTTTAATTTGAACAAACTTGGTAGACACTCACTAGAAGATGTTTCATGCTTAATATCTTAGCTCTAGCTCTTTGGGTTCTTTAAAAGAAGATTTTTTAAGTTTTTACTATATGCATATAGGAAAAATCAATGACCCCCTGGGGCGGGGCCAATTTTGACCCCAGGGCTTTTATTTAAACAAACTTGGTAGAAACTCATTAGAAGATGTTTCATGCTAAATATCTTAGCTCTAGCTCTTTGGGTTCTTTAAAAGAAGATTTTTTAAGTTTTTACTATATGCATATAGGGAAAATCTATGACCCCCTGGGGCGGGGTCAATTTTGACCCCAGGTCTTTTATTTGAACAAACTTGGTAGACATTCACTAGAAGATGTTTCATGCCAAATATCTTAGCTCTAGCTCTTATGGTTCTTTAAAAGAAGATTTTTTAATTTTTACTATATGCATATAGGGAAAATCAATGACCCCCGGAGCGGGGCCAATTTTGACGCCAGGGCTTTAATTTGAACAAACTTGGTAAACACTCACTAGAAGATGTTTTATGCTTAATATCTTAGCTCTAGCTCTTTGGGTTCTTTAAAAGAAGATTTTTTAAGTTTTTACTATATGCATATACGGAAAATCAATGCCCCCCTGGGGCGGGGCCAATTTTGACCCCAGGGCTTTTATTTGAACAAACTTGGATGACATTCACTAGAAGATGTTTCATGCCAAATATCTAAGCTCTAGCTCTTACGGTTCTTTAAAAGAAGAATTTTTAAGTTTTTACTATATGCATATAGGGAAAATCAATGACCCCCAGGGGCGGGGCCAATTTTGACCCCAGGGCTTTTATTTGAACAAACTTGGTAGATACTCACTAGTAGATGTTTCATGCCAAATATCTAAGCTCTAGCTCTAATGGTTATTTAAAAGAAGATATTTAAAGTTTTTTCTTTCTGTTGCCATGGCAACCACTGAGTTCTGCATGGAATTAAATTCTTTGAACAATTTTTAAAGGTGACCACCTAAGGAACATTCCTGTGAAGTTTGGATGAAATTGGCTTAGTGGTTTATGAGGAGATGTCATTTAAAGTAAAACTTTACGGACGGACGGACGCCGGAAGAAAAGCGATCACAAAAGCTCACCCTGTCAGTTTGTGACAGGTGAGCTAAAAAGCAAATCAGAGTTATGAGACTTTTGCCAATCATCTTAGATAATCACAGACAACAAGTGTGTGAAGTTTCAATCCATTCCCTTCAGTAGTTATGGAGATACCAGCTTACACGCAAAACTTAACCAAGAATTTCTAAGTCGAAAAAGAGGCATTATTATGTAAAAAAGCAAATCAGACTGATGGGACTTGTGCCAATTATCTTAGATATTCACAGAGAACAAGTGTGTGAAGATTCAATCCATTCCCTTCATTAGTTATGGAGATACCAGCTTACATGCAAAAACTTAACCAGAGGGACGCCGACGCCGACAAATGGGTGACTGCATTAGCTGGATTATTCTGCGAATAGTCGAGCTAAAAATTAAAGAGTGTATCAGACTATATATACAGGGACTACCTTGGACTGAAAAGTTAGGGAGAAGTGACTTCTCCCTTCAGGAAAAATAGGGTGAAGTTTTGAAATTTAGGGAGAAGTGATCATCAAATCGAGTTATATCATTGGATTTTTTTCTAATTTTATTTCACACAATATACATGTACACCTTTATTATGTACATGCATATAAAATATACAAGTTTTTTTAGGTTCAACAGTTTCTGACTCTAACTTTTAAATGCAATTAATTAAGAAGAAAAGTTCTTCAATTCATAATAATTATCCAAATTCAGTTTTAATGATGAATATTATTGTTATAGCCATAATAAACAGTTGTAATTAATTGCTATCATAAATGTAATGTTGATAACAAGAATGGACAGGCAAACGTATATGGGATATTGTAAATCAAACAAATCATATAGGGGAAATAGCAAATCAAACAAAACGTATAGGGGATATTGTAAATCAAACAAGACATATAGGGGAAATTGTAAATCAAACAGAATGTTAAGGGAATATTGTAAATCAGTGGATATTGTCAATAAGACACAAATAAATATGTTTGAGGTAACTTAATTATCAATTAGCTAGCTTTTTTTCATCTGCTGCATTTATATCAGGGTCTTTCACAGCTTAAATTTACCGAAAATTTTAAGTACTATCAATGCGCTATTTTTGGCGATGTGGATTTCCAAGTGTGAATTCCAATTGTCGCTATGGCCACGCTTCAATGCATGTGCTACTTACGTCAGATTACACAATTAAATCTGCCTCCAGGCAGTATTATCCAGACAGAGTGGTGAAATATACATGTCACACAGACCTTTCATAGAGATTTTAGGGGGACTAGAATTTCGCTTTTCCGATCATAAAGGGCGAAGTGTAAATATTTAAGGCGAAGTTTTCGCCTGTCTTCGCCCTGAACGCAGTCCCTGTATATATCATGATGGAAAGTTTTATGCTAGTCAAAACCTTTTTTCCGTTTGAAACTTCAAAGACCTGAAGTCACTGATGTTGTTAGTAACCATGAAGTATCATTGAAAAAGCTTATGTTTTTACAATTGTCCTCAATGCCTGATAAAAATTGTATGCAACACTGACAGAAATATTAAAATTATTTTGTGTTTTGATTTAACACTGGCAGAACTTTTTTTCCTTCCACAACAGGGGCCAATATAAGGCCCCTTCACAATTCAAAATCACAAAGTGGCAGAAAAAAAATCACAAAACCCTACATAATAAGGCCTAAAAAAAAAATTGTTTTGTTCGGGTCACCCGACCCTACCTAATAATATGCGCCGACCCTACCGTTTTTTTCGTGTCCAAAAAAAAAAAAAAAAAAAAAAAAAAAAAAAAATCCATGAAAATACCGTATTATTGAGGTACTCAATGAGCAGTGTGAAGGGCAATTCAGGCGAAAATTTCGCTGTGTATATTTCCATTTCGCTCTCCCAATTGATCAAAGAGAAGTCAACATCGCCGATAAAATCTTAATTCCCAAAGAGTAAATACTTGCCGATGTAAAGAGCAGAGATTGTATCCGCCCATATGACGACTGCTAATTATCATTATCTAATCAGAGCATCGCTATATACTACCCTTCTACCTATATGCAAAGCGATAGACCGCCTACTCTAAACAGTAAATAATGAGAGCATCGACCCGAAACGGGTATATTTTGCGAGTTTAATACGCGATTTGGCGATAATTATAGATTAATTTTTTCCGATCATCTAAACACTCGCAAATCTTCCCTAATTGATATACACGCGGTGTTTAACCGAAGTAAAGGCGATGTGCAATGTTTTCACGGCTATCACAAAACTGTTAGTCAATTAAAAATAATTAATTTCATTTGGATGATTTCAGTCCGTTAACATCGATTAAAAATTGTTATGTCGCTCACGTCATGGCTTAGGGTGAAATGCCCAAACCTAGCAGTAAAAAAAAGTTACTGATTCTGATACACCTAATACACGCGAAAATTTAAGAAAGCCAATTCGCAAAAATCTTATGATTGGTATGTTGTAGACAGTGAGAGTGTTTTGCATTGTTATCTTTGTAGAAATGCCAAATTTGACACAGCTTGTACGCACGTGGGCACGACATCCTAAAACTACGAATCTTGATCGGCATGCGACATATCGGTCGTATATCATGTGCTCATGTATATAACAACAAAATTTGTCAGGAAAGAAGTGTTCTTATTGTTTCAATATATATATTTGTTTTA